TAATTTGTTGATAGCAATTTAACTAGTTGTCAAAAGTGGAATTACATATTGATTCATGCAGCTCTAAGGCAATAAATTAGTCAAGTTAAGATATCCTTAAAACTCAAACTCGAGCCGGATAGTCCTTAACAAACTCGAGGAAGATTATCAAGCTTGAGTTTGATTGAATACTTGAACATGTTAAATTTTTTTTAAAGAATAAATTAATACTTTTATTAAACAATGTTACATAATTATTTTTTAGTGTAATGGCCAAGCCAAGTTTAAATTGCAATTCAAACTTGATTTAACTCAATTTTTAAAGCTTAATTTTGAGCTCAAACTCAAATTTGAATTAAGCCGAGCCCCACTAAAATTTGAATAAGTAGCTCTTGGATAACTCAATTTATTTTGCCACTAAAGCGTCCACCCTGTTGTAGTGGCACGTTGTTCCCTCGGTCTTAGTTTTTCTGCTTTGTTTTTATCTCTTATGTACCAAAAAAAAAAAAAAAACTCAATTTATTTTTCTTCTTGTTATTTTATTTCTTTTTAAGTATGATATTTTCTTTTGGATAATATGCCTATTTGGTTTTTGCCCACCTAATTCCACAAATATCTGCTAACCATTCCGTATAAACACCACACAAATCTCCACCTTCAGGGTGGCAGGTGTGAGCTATTCAGGCTTTTTAAGTATGATTTAATTTAACATAAAAATAATTTTGTGCTTTATCTAACAATATTACTGTAAGAAACAGGTGATTAGTGGCTTGCATTTAGTGGATGGCATATGTAATTGACAGTTAAATCTATTTTATTGATCGGTAAAAATAAAATTTGCCTTTATTCATCCTTATAATTTGACTACTAAAAGAATGCATGGGAATATTTGGGTGAGCTTCTAAAGGTGCGTTTGGAATTGCGGTTAAGAACTTTTCGTATAATAATACAATATTTTTAAATATATATGTATTTATTAATTTTTTTTTCAAACTGTTCTTTTTAAAAGTTATAAAAAGTCATAGCATATCTA